GGGGAAGGTGTGGAAGATGTTGAATGGTATTATGCAAGGAAAGTGAAGTAAGCATTTTTGTACTAGGTACATTAATATATTGATGAGTTTTGTTAATTTTATGGTATTATGTTTATTAGATATATATAGACGATCGTGACTGACTGACTGACTGACGCTAATTCTAACCATGTTCCAGAAAGATTAGAAATCTGAAACTTGGTACACATGTACCTTTTGGGGTGCAGAGTTCAGAAAAACTCCGACTTTGGAGGTACATGCCCTGGGGGTACACATTTTGGGGGGAGAAGATTTTTAAAATTTTATATCGTGAGGGATAAGGATGTCATCGAAAAACGCTTCTGTATGTTACCGTTTCGATGGTGTAGTGGTAGCACATCGGACTGGTAATCATGGGGCCACGGTTCAATTTCTAACCATTCCATGCCTTTTTTTTTATTTCTCTTGCCTTCCATGTCCCATGGCTTCAATAAAACGGAGAAACATGGAAAGCTGAAACTTGGTACATAATTACCTACCGGGATGCGGTGTGCAGAAAAATTCAGACTTTATAAAGAAATGGCCTGGGGCATGAAATTCAAAGGGAGAATGTTTTCATATAATTTTTTCCATTAGATAAACCGATGGACATGGAAAGCTGGAACTTTGCATGAATGTGACTACCAAGATAAGGAGTTAAAGAAAAATATTAAATCTTGATACATCTCCGGGGGAAAATTTCTCGAGGGGCGATGTTTCAAAAGAAAGAAATTGTCATGGCGCATTGGACAGAANACTAGCGAGTTTGTTTGCCCTTCGGGCAAACAAACTCGCTAGTAATATATATAGACGATCGCTACAGACTGGCTGACTGACTGACGTCAATTCTAACCTGATGTTCTAGAGAAGTTAGAAATATGAAACTTGGCACTCCTATAAGTGACATGATATTATTATTATTGAGTTGAGGAAGTATTCAGGTTTCATGGTGCATCCCCATCGGGCTTAGCTTCTGGATGCGTCGGCTTTTCCAAAAGTGTTTTTTCACCAGCGAAAATGGCAAATGTTTAAGGTTGAGACGCTGTGGGCATGTATTTCTCTGAGGATTGATTTCGCTAAAAAAAAAAATAATGTACTTTTCGGTTTAAACGCCTAAGAGCACAGATGTTACAAAAGGCGTATTTTCTCGATCCAGCAAAACAGAGGGCGCTAGAAAGCATAAACTTGCCAAAGAAGAAGCTGATTGATTGACGGAAAGAAAAAAGTCTACCTTTTTTCTATATAGGGGATCGTGAGTAACTGACAGACATAAGTCGATATTCGCATGCTGAGTTAAGGAAAAATTCAACTTTGGGGATACATGCCCTAGGGGCACAACTTTTCGGGGTACAAAATTTTGAAATATTTCTTTCTGCTTCAGTCAAACGGAGACACATGGAAAGCTGAAACCTGGCAAGAACGTGACTGCTGACGCACTGATCACGTCAAAAGTCAATTTTCCAATATATTGGAATTTTGGGGGGATATTACTTGGGGACGTTATGTTTTCAAATAATTTTTTAAATCCTATCGAATTGGGCAGAAATAGTATTACTTGAAACACGAATATGTAGATTCACCAATTTAGGCATAAAAGCAATTAATCTTTCACTTCTAGGAAAATAATCCAGGTTTTTGTATATCTCCTGGCCTTGCAGAGGATACGGACGATGAGTGAGGCTTCCTGGCTTTAGGAAATGAAGCTGCTCGCGTCTATCGATCTCCCAGTTCTTCACGGTTTCCCTATCCGACCTAGAAGGTTGTGGCTTTCGGGGCTAGTCATGGTTCTTCTCTCGATTTTTGACGTGTACTTCAATAAATGAATGGTTTTTCATCTCCGCTTTGTCCTTTTTACGAGATGAGTCTTCTCTAATCGCACATATGATTATCCTCTTCCATGCAAACCATCCCTATCACCTTTGAATTGGACGATCACAGAAAGAATGAAGAAGTGGTGTTGCATGTTGAGCTACAAATATATCTTTACTTGGAGTGATGTTCCTTGCGAAAATTCTGCGGGTATTTTATTCCATTGCCGTAATATTTAAGTACTTCACGTACACAAGATTCAAATAGAATCCAAAAGTTACACAGACTTTGTCTAGTTCCACTGACCTGTGTTGAAGTTATTTCACTGAACCTTGAGCCCTATGTTCCACCCGTTCGCACGAGTTAATATTCAAGTATTTAAAAAATATATTAATAGTTCATGGTAACAGCTGGAAAGCTTCATTGGTAAGTTTTTTCTTTAAACTGCAACCTTTGAAACTTCAATTCTCGATAATATCGCCGGATGTCGATGATTGAAACTTCAATTATCGACATCCGGCGAGGGAAAAGACAAAGCTCTTGCTACGGTAAGCTGCACTCCCAAGGTGTATCGATAGGGCAATTTCTTACTTGTTCGACTTTTTACGCACCATAATCAGAAAATTTGTATTCATTATTCATGATTTCTCTTCGATTTAACTTCAGTCGATTATTTTTCGATCTGGCGGAGCACTATATACTATATCACGAGTCGAAAGCCGGTATTCATGGTATGACGGGAAGTCTATCATTACAAACATAATGTTGAGATCTTTAAAAAATATATATACTATTTTGTGCCTTTTTTCCATGCAACAAACCGTTGTAACGAGATGCTTATATTTTCCCTTGCGGAGTGTGGACATTTTGTGATCAAGAATGTCTATATTTAAAATATTAAGAGTGAAACATTATGAATCTCAAACGCCAAAAATACATGGACGGAATTGCTTCCGTATGAAAGATTTCCGGTTCTAGTGGAAGCGAAACTTCTTACGATGAACGACTCTTAAGATAAAAATATTTTTGTCCATAGGTTTTTTCCGTTTTTCCCAAAGTTCAATGGGATATATCTCACCCCGGGACGTAGCCAGTGGGGCGAAGGGGGGGGTGTCCTGGGTGTCTGGACACCCCTCGAAAAGCAAGATATTATGAAACAAGGAGTATGGAAGTGGAGGTGTGGGGGAATGAAAAGTTTCACATATTCAACTGAAGTTTCGACTTCCATTCATATTCCACCTTCTGAATACGATCACTCTTACAGCGCCCCCCTCCCCCCCCCAATTTGCTTTCATTGCTCTACTAGTTTTTTTCAGTTCCAGCAGCAAACCATGATTCAGGAATTGCTTTCCCCCATTTCATTATGACTAATTCAAGGTCAGTCCTTGAGCCATATCTCTTCATGCAAAAAAATTTGAAATATTGGGGGAAAAAGGGGGCTATTTTCAACTATGAGGTGGATAGTGTAGAAGTATCAAAAAGGGTTTCGAAGTTTTCCTCATTCCTTCCAACCCCTCATTTTCTTCAGCCACCTCGTCATCTCATGAGACCGAAAGGGCAACACAAGACACCCTCCTAAATTATTTCCTGGCTATATCATTGATTTCGCCATAGGACTTTCGATAGTGGCTAATTCTCTAGTTCTTTTCTTTTTAGCTTTATACGGAATTATCAGATTAATTGCTGAGAATTTTTCCCTCAAAATCAGAGTCTGCTGTCAGACTTTAGTTCGTATAGAATGCCCTCATACATTCATTTTAAAAATAAAGACTCATTAAGAAACTGGTGCAGCTTTGAATGTTAGCTTGGACACAAAAAATGTGCGCGGTAGCACATTCCGCCCGTGAGAGCAGTTTCCTCACGGAATGAATCGACTTGAAGGCTGGGGGAGCCCCACATGGAGCGAGCCACTACTCCATATTTCCATTTCTCGGACAATCTCTTTTACTTGTGAAAGGCACGCACAAAGCGACGCGAAAAAAAAATATTTGGCAACCCACGAAACGAAACGAGGAAGCGGATCATGAATCGAATATGAAAATCCGAGAAACCGCCGGAAGGACTAGGTGAACTACAGTAAAAAGGAGAGCGGTATCCAAAGCAAGAAAAAACCTTCACATCTCGTCTCTCCTCTCTATCGTCCTCCTTCTCATCATACGCTGCATCCGCACCATCTGGTTGCATTGCATCTTGCGATCGCCGCCTCTCACCCACTAACCTTCCGTCATCGTACCCCAATATTAACCCAGTCCCTCCGCTGCCATTCTCAAAGTCTGCTGCTCTCCCTCAAACGACTTAATATGAGGATCATTTTGAAACTGATCGTGAGTCACTGGTAAAACTCCAAATTTTGGTTTTGATATTTAAATATGCTACATATAACGTTTCATTGACGGATGGACCAGGGTTTCGAGTTGGTGTTGCTGGTGTTGTTGCAAGCGTTTTTCGTGCTAGGCGATCCGGATGTAGATCCAAAATCGAAAGCAGTCGCCAATCCTCATGCTAGTCCAGATCCCATCGTCCGAGGGTCTGTTTTTTTTCTCATTTCCCTTTTCTTTACTGAGGGTATTAAGCAAGTAAGGTGTTTTTCAAACCGGCACCGACCGTTGCATGTCCTCTTATAATTTCTCTTCCTAGGCAAACGTTCATACATTAAAGAATATTATGAATTTTTTAGCTCTGACCAGCTTAGACTATGCTTCGCACGTGACAGTACTACATTAGTATAAAAGACAATCGAACACATTTTTACGAAACCACATGCGAAAATTATTCTCTTGTCACAGCGAAGATAAATTTGGGATTTTCGCTTATCTTGCATTCGCAGATACCCAAGCAGCAACGCTCGAGTTTCAGCAGCGGCGGCAGGGGCAACAGCAAGAAGAGCATGGAAAGAAGAAGTAAGTAGTAGTCCTTCTTTCTTCACGACTTGTCTATCGATGAAGCAATGGTTTCCTTCTTTCCTTGGTCTGTTTTAAAGTTTCGAACTAAAATTCCCTAGTGGACAACGATCCTTCCAAAAAATTTCATCTGCAGAAAATATCCCCTCATTTCCTGTTCCGTTGAAATTAGTTGAAATTCTGGAAGATTGTTAAAATACCTCTTGATGGTTGATTAAACTGAGCTCCTCATGGGAATTCAATGTGATATCATTGCATAGGGTACAAGGCAATCTAATCGCCCAAGATGACATCCACCTTCATGTCATTTTGAATCGCAATGAAATGCAAATCTTGGAAACCCGTTCCATCGGCGCATTCCCCCTGTGTGCTGCAGAGGAAGCCTGGCTCCAGCACGATCCAGGCCAGGCCGCAGTCGAACGCCGTGGGGCTTCCCCCTGTTCCTATGGCAGAGTGAAAGAGGATTATAACCAACCGTGTCATAGCCTAAAAGAACCCACTCATTCCCGTGAATTCGTGCGAGTCCACGCTTGAGATGCTATCACCCTCGAGGTACACGCTTCCCAAGGCCTGACTGTGCAATTTCAAGACCCGTTCTTGATAGTCGATCTCGGGCCGCACAAATAGCAGGAAAATTCTGTCCGATTTCGCAATTCCGCAAAGAATGTTGCACATCCGCGATGGGATTTTCACATGCAACGATTGAAATTGAATCGTCTGAACATATAATGGATACCTGGAACCCTTTAAATCTATTTTTGCATTGCCTTTCAGATAATTCTCATCCAGGAAGATAGGCTGATTTTTTTTGCAAAGCCAGTATCATCACATTTCTCGTTGGAATGAGGTCATTTTTGCCTCAGAGCTTGCATTCATTCCGCAACATACAAAGTGACGAAACAGGGAAAATAAAGTGCATCAGCAAGAAACCAAGTTAAAGTAATGAATCTACGGTGAGGATAACGATATATATTACTACCAAAGGAACACGTGATGTCCATGCAACCTTCCTGCAACGTTTGAAAACATCGCATTCCGATGTTCCGAGACATCGATGGGACGTCACTGCCTCGTGCTTAGGGCGCCATAATCCTTGTCATTGTTCTTCATGTACTGCATCTCTATGATATTCTAAAATGTCCTAAAATGTCCTCAGCAGCAAAAAAATCCACCCTAGGAACAATAAATTGTGTTTTTTGTAAGACCCCTGCACACAGCGTCAATCAGCAGGTCAATGTCTTTATTTCGATGGGAAAAGTGTTATTCTTTGACAATCGCCAGGTGATTCCACACGACTTCTTTCCAGATGAAGAAACGGTAAAATCGTAGGTGTTCTGTGAGATTCAGTTGCGAAATGCGATTTGCCGTAAACGCACCGATCTGGGGCTTCTCCGGAGTGGATGCAGCTTCGCGACAATGCCCAAACTTTTCGATCTCTGAAGGCCCTAAGCAGACCTAAGGTGCCTGCGTCACAACATCCACCATATTCCCCCGACACAGCACCGTGCGACTCTGGGCTTCTTCACGAATGGAGCAGGCGATCAAGCGACAGAAGTTCCCCAAAAAGCAAAAAAAAAAAGTGTTTGTGGCTGCGACGACGGCACTCGTGGACGCAGAAACGAAAGAACTCCAGGACACAATCCTCCAGTCGTATGAACGCTGGCAAAAAATATGTGGATGCGGAAGGTGACTACTTTCAGGAAAATCATGGGTGAATGCGAAAACTTGCATCTCATCAGAAAACAGATGAATTTTCGACGAACATTTCGAAGCTAATAGTACGCGAAGAGCATTCCCTTCTCGTCGGAGAGTTAAAAACCCGTCCCCGAGCGAACAGCGCCAGTTCCTCGATATTTTGAAAGCCCGTGGATGCCACTCGATTCCGCGACATTTCTCCCCTCCTTTGATGAACGTCGGATGGCTTCTCTCAGCCTTCCTCGCGAACCGCGGCAGTTCACATGCTAATACGAGCGAAAATTTTTTTCCAGGGGGAACAGGAAAAAGATATTTGAGGCTGTCTTGATTTCGCTGGCCAAATTTCTGGATTTCGTTGACCGTTGGCCAAATTTGCCTACCGATTTCCAGATGCAACGCTTCATCTCTATCCCTATCGTGCGACCTTCACATACTGACCTCTTTAAAGAATGACTTTAACTAAAGGCAGTTGAAATCAACAAATAACTGAAAAAGCTTAGCTTTTACGTCGCCGCCAGGCGGTTTCTCTTCACTGGATGAAAAGTAAGCCGAGCAAACTCATAGAACCTATGGCTCAACGTCCAGTGGAATGGCTTTCATTGAAGGTCAGGAGAACTAGAAAACGCCTGTTCGAGGGACATGTCAACTGGTCAGACAAGTAGGCAAAGTACTTAAGTACTGTCGTAAGTACCTATGCGTTTTTACGCATGAAATTGTCTTTGTGCTTTATTATGAACGATTGCAAAAAAAATGCCTCACCGTACTGGCTATAATTTCGCCAAAGTTATGATGAAAAGGAAGTCCTCCAAAAGAGCGTCAATTTCATTGAAATAGGAGGTTTTATATTAACTAATCTTTGTAGAGAAATTTTGGCATATAGTGCCTACGACTGCGCCATTGTGCCGATTAATGGGCGGAGTTTTAATTATATAAGTTCAGTAGCATTTTCCTTGTAAATAATGGTGGAACATTTTTGATTCTTTAAAATTAGCTTGTATTACCAAATTCGGCAGCAGTGTCTCAAGGATCTCCTCCTTACGAAGTCGAGAATCCTGTCTTGCTAGCAATAAAACGTAAGTTCAAGTCTACGGCACTTTAAGGGGAGATGGCACAATGGGAGAAATTTTGATGACGCTTCGCGTATAGGAAGATGCAGCAGGATATGCGCGAGCATGGAAGACCCAAACACAAAGAGCATATGGAAAACATTGCTTTATTGAAAGACACGTGAGCGAGCAAAAAGGGAACCATGGCTATCCCCGAAAGCCACGTCCATCAACAATCGATGAATGAACAGCGCAGAAGAGAGAGATGGAGAGACCCGAGCAGCTTCATTTCCGACCGCCGGGGATCCTGCCGGGGGACAGATCAACCAATAATTTTAATCATTTAAGTATTTGTTTGTATTAATATATACCGTTTTTCATCTACATATTCATATTTATTTATATGCTCATATCATATCCTTCAACAGCTTACTTCGTAACTTCAAAAAAGAAATAGTGGTCCTCAAATTTCTTCCCGAGGCCGGAGGAGGAAGAGGAGGAGGAGGAGGAGAACTTCTTCTTGCCAAAGCCTCCGCTGCTGCTACTCGAGCTAAAGCTGCCTGGGTGTCTGCAATTTAAGAAAACGCCAAATTAGGCTTCACTGTGACATGCCATTGAATTTTGTTCGTGCTTAGGTCAATTTTTTTTTGTCAGGATTCCGTACTTTCCCAGTACTGGAACGAAAGAAGTGAGGTCGAAACGGGTGAAGAACCGAATATATATTATTTTAGTTGAAAGCAAATATCAAGAAAATCAAGGAGTTGTGGCTATACGAGAACGTGCAGCGCGTAATGCCGATCAAAAAATTATATTGCACTCGTTTTCTTAATACCCGCTGTATAAGAATTGGAAAAAAAAACAAACCCTCTGGCGACAGGATAGGGACTAGCATGAGCATCGGCAACTGCTCTCGCTTCTGGATCTGCTTTCGGATGGCCTAGCACGAGGAAAGCTTCCAACAACACCAGCAACACCAACCCGAAGCACTGCTCCATACGCCGAGAAAGCGGTAAATGTACCATTTTCAAGTAGCAATGCCAAAATCAAAAGTATGACTCACCATGAGTTTCATGACGATCGCCGAGTGGAGTTCCTTGAGAGAGCAGAATGTGAGGAAGTCAGACTGAGAATGCCAGCAGAGGGATGGGGTTAATATAGGAGCGCGAAGACGGAAGAGGGGGAGGGGGAAGTGACGTCGATTGCATAATGCCATACAACCATATAGTCTAGATGCAGCATCTGGTGGAGGGAGGAGGGCCATAGAGAGGAGAGACGGGAAGTGAACGTCTTATTTCCTGATTTGGAAATCTCTCCCTTTTATCCCCGTAATCCACCTTGTCCTTCCGCTCGTGTGTGTTTCGCCTTTTCCTCTTCGAGTCGTTATCCTTTTCATAGTTTCGCGTTATTGGCCGGGGTTCTTTCTGCCGAGTTTTGTGAATCCATTGATACGATGCACGCGGTTTTCTCTTTTGTTTTGAAGGGTTGTTAGATTGACTGCACTTAAATTTTTTTTTAAGCCAGGGAAGCCACTCTCAGCGTCCGTATCGTCTGCAAGGTAAGGGGGTCATTCAAAAATCAGGATTATTATCCTAGTGAGTGAAAGATTAATTGTGTTTATGCATAAATGTGATTCTACATATTTGCGTTTTATGTTATAAACATGTTGTCATAAAATGTAAGAAAAAATTTCAATTTATTAATATTCCTAGTACAAATCAGTTTACTTCACTTTCCTTGCATTATTCCATTCAACAGCTACCACACTTTCCCCAGAAATTTTTTTCTACCAAGTCTCACCCGAAACTGGAGGAGGAAGAAGACGAGGAGGAGGAGGGGTGCTTCTTCTTGGTTTTCTTGCTCCTCTTCTTCCCATACTTCTTGTCGTATCCGCCGCCACCGCTGCTGGCGCTCGAGCTGCTGCTGCTGGGGTATATACATACCCGATATTACAAAGTCGAAGTTAAACTTAATTGACACGCGAATGCTTTTCGCGCTTTCTTTCGTAAAAAGTTTTCAGCATGCACATGTTCCATTTTTGTACTGGCACGCAGCAAGCGCGATCAAAGTGTGTCAGGTTTAAAAAAGAAAAATATTATATTTAAACATTTTAGATAAAATGATGGAAGGCCTCGCAAAAAAATAACTTCCTCATGTGAGAAAGTGCAACGCTTGGCGCTAATCAGAAACTTACCTTACATGAATTTTTTGAATACTACATAAAGGGAAGGGAGGATGAAATAGACGCTCTGGCGACAGGATCGGGACTAGCATTGGGATCAGCAAGTGCTTTCGCTTCTGGATCTGCATTGGGAGCGCCTTTCACGAAGAAGCTTCCAAAAACATAAACAACACCAACCCGATACCCTGATCCAGCCACCAATAAACAAGGAAATGTAGAATTCTTAAATAGCAAAATCAATGTCTGAAGTATGACCAGTGACTCACGATGAGTTTCATGATGATCGTCGGGTGAAGTTCCTTGTGAGAGAGTAGTATGTGAGGATGGCAGACTGAGAATGGCAGCGGAGAAACCGGGTTAATATAGGGATGCAAACACGGAAGGGGGTGGGAGAGCAGGCGATCGCATGATTCAATGCAGCAAGATGGTTTCCAATGTAGCAGCTGATGGGAGAGAGGAGGACGATAAAGCGAATGGACGAGAGGCGAAGGCGCCTTTCCCACTTTGAACGTCTCTTTTTGCATCACTTTATTCCATGTAGTCCTTCTGGCTGTGTGCTCCTCTTTTTCTCCTCGGTTTTTGGTCGTTTTCCCCAATACGTCATGTTCGTGGTAGAAATTATTTTCACATCTTCCTGTACGAGCCTTTCAGAAAATAATTATGCAGTAAAATCTGCAATACCGGAATTTGGATTGGGTGTTCGCCATTTGGGCTTTGACATTCCCTGTTGTCGAGGCGATTCATTCAGTTGGGTACAAGGAATAAGGTACTACACTCACATTTCTATCGTTAAGCAAACAAAAAGAGAAAGAATAACTTTTTCTAGGTCCTGGAGTAAAAGATTGTACTGTTCACAGAGTAAAAATTCAAGACTTGAAAATGAGCCCTCTTTCGAACAAATTTTCATTTCAAAACTGATGACCGCACAGCAAGGATTTCCTTGTCTGAATTTCGAATTGCTCTTTGAATTTGTTTCCAGTCGGTCCTTTAAGGAAATGAATCTGCTAGCGAAATATGACCCGTTCTTAAAGTTGCATTGGGTTCCCTATTCAAATTACCATGTTTCTTAGATCAAGTTATTTAGATCACTGCTGGTGTTAACAGCTAAAAATAAGAGAAGCGTATTGTTTCTTAAGGTTTTTTTTCTGAGGTCGTTTTTATTTCCTTTTATATGGCATGTGCTCAAATTTAGCTTATCTGAGTTCTGGAACTACATGAATTCCATTTACATCAGCCATTTTTGTGTCAGAATGGACACCGTTTCCATTGGGGAACGAGCAAATAAACTTGCTATTTTGTCAATGTCACTTGAAGAACTCCATAACTTCGCACATGAAGTCAAACTCAATAAATAAATGACTTTAAGCCAGTATGCCCTTAGGCTGAGAAGGCGCTGAACCTAATCAACAATATAAAATTCATTAATTTTTAACTTGCGGATAAAACCCTTTTTATATTAAATTTGACTTTCTCAATCTCCAAATTCTATTCGAAAACACAATCTAGCCTTTAGGATGATTTGAAAGAATGCTTCTGAGGAAAATAAATTTCTTGAGATTGAATGAAGAGGTGAAAGGTAAAATGCCGCAGTTTTTTCACATTTCACTTATTAGAATAAAAAGAGAAGTAAATCAAACTGTGTTGTTCTCGAAAAGGGGAAAAAAAGCTAGTAGGAAATTAAATGCCTTCACAAGATGTATCATCAAATATATATTAACGATAGTGACTAACTTAATGAATGACGCTTATTCTAACCCTGTTCTAGAAAGGTTAGAAATCTGAAACTTAACACCCATGTACCTTGTGGGATGCAGAGTTCAGAAAAAAAAACCGACTTCGGAGGTACATGCCCTAGAGGTACACATTTTGGGGGGAGAAGTTTTTTTCCAATACATATTGTGACGGATGATGATGGCATCGAGAGGAGCTATTGGATGTTCCACTTTCGGTGGTGTACTATTAACACCTCTGACTGGCAGTCAGGGAGCCCATTTTCAATTCCCGGCCATTCCATGGCTTTCTTTCAGGATTTCCTGCCTTCTATGTCGCGTTACTCATTCCCCCCCTCCATAAAATTATTCTAGCTTGAATAAGACGGAGACATATGGAAAGCTGAAACTTGGCAAGAGTGTGACCGCTCACGTACTGAGCTCAAGTATCAATTTGCCAATACGTTTTTGGGGATCATATTTCTTGGGGACGTAACTTTTTTTCTAATAATTTTCCATATCCTAGCCATTCGGACAGAAATAGAAAAGTCGTAGCTGGGCACGCGTAACGGACGTCTTGTTGATTTAAGGAAAAATTCAACTTTTGTTGTGCGTCTCCTCCAATCATGTGTATCATTCAGTTCATTTTGGTGATATGGTTTAATAAAGATAATTTGTCTACGTGGATGGCAAATGGCAGTCGCATTTTGCAGTCGGAAGTCGCAATGCAGCTTCATATTTAAAATGTTTATGCAGTCAGTTTGAAGGATGGCGCCCCTTGCATTCATTCCAATTGTTACGACTGCCACATAAATTTACCTTTTTAGGAAATGGAATCGCCGAATCAACGGAAGAGTCCTTCCGACCCATGTTGGATGTCCTCTTACGCGGATTCTGGCGCATCTCGTACCTCGACGGTGAGCGATGAGCCGTTCGTCTCCATGATGGAGTCCCCGACATCCTTTCGATTATTTTGCAGTAGGTCTCGTCTTCGTATAATCTGCCCGATACTCGACTGTCGATCGGGGCGGTCTAATACTCGCTTTGGACTCAAAGCATCAGAACTCCAGGTCGCAGATTGCATATTCCCTCCCAATGTCTCTCTTTCTTCAGTCCTGTAATTAGCATATTTGTACTTTTCCCGCCTAAATTCTTTAGTGACGGTAGCAATTTTCCATGGAAGGAAATGCCTCATCGCCCGAAAAGGAAGCAATGTGGCAAAGGAATCTTAGAGTCAATAAAAAGTCCCTCAAAATAAAAAAAAAACTTTTTTTTGTCTATTGCGAATGAATAGAAATTTCCAAACAAATGTATCATAAAAAAATCTTCCCTTCAAAACTTCTTGTAATTGTAAAACTTCACAGCAGACCCAAAAGGATTTTCGCCTTGTCAAGACACTTTTCAGGCCTTCTCTAACCTTTCGCTTCTGTCCTTTTCTTCTTTTATTGCAGCTCATGCAATAAGAGAAATGAGGGGGATGAATTGCATGGAGGAGATATATCATATGTAGCAACAGAGCAGACTCATCTCGAGAAAAATATCTAACATGGAGAGTGTAAAACAATTCCTTTATTGCAAAACCACTGAGGAAACACGAATAAAACCATGACTAGCCCCGAAAACCATCACTTTCCATGAAGGATAGGAAAGTTGCAGAAGGAATGGATCCAGAGACACACGTCCAGTTGCATTTCCTATGGTTAGGGGATACTCCCTCAGCGTCCGTATCCTCTGCAAGGCAATGGATTAGAAAAAAAATCCGTGATTATTTCCCTTAAATGAAATGTTACTTCTGCTAATGAATGAATTTCCCAATCTACATGTTTATACTTTACGTCTTCAAAACACTATGTGCAATTTTTATCAAAGGTATCAAATCATCAAAGATAATTGATTTCTTAATTTAGGATTATTCTGTTGTCAACCTTCTTATATATAATGATGGAACAGTTTCGTCCACAACTTCAACAGAAATTTTGCTTCAGACAAGTCTCACCCAAAACTGGAGGAGGAAGAGGAGGAGGAGGAGGGGTACTTCTTCTTCTTCTTCTTCTTCTTCTTCTTCTGCTTCTTCTTCTTACCGTAGCCTCCGCTGCCGCTGCTCGAGCTCGAGCTGCTGCTGCTAGGGTACCTGCAGGCGCAATTTAAGAACGTGTCAAATAAAGTTTCACATCAATATGCTGTTCTTTGCTCATATTGGTTAGTCAGCTTTCCGTGCCTTTTTTCGACTGGTATGAACGAAGGCATATCAAAGAACGTGACATTAAAATTTCCAATTTTCTTCTATTTTTAAATTAAAAATATGGAAAGTTTCAAGAAAAAGAGATTAAAGTACAACGCACGGTGCCGATCGGAAAGACACGTTCCATGATTTTCCTCAATACCCACTGTATAGAAAACGGAAGTAAAAACTGACCCTTGGGCAACAGGATTGGGACTCGCATGAGGATCGGCGATTGATTTAGCGCCTGGATCTGCATCCGGATCACCTAGCACGAGGAAGGCTTCCAACAGAACCAGCAACACCAACGCAAAACACTGCTCCATCCACCAAGGAAACATAACATTTAGCAAATTTTGGTAGCACATGAAAAATTCTGAAGAAAGACAAATGACTCACGACGAGTTTCATGCCGATTCCTGCGAGAAGTCGTTTGAGAGAGCGCAGCAGAGGGAGAGGATGGCCGACTGAGTATGGTAGTGTCGGTGAGGGCTTAATATAGGGGTGTGAAGACGGAAGGGGCTGCAGAGGCGGCGATTGCATGATGAAATGCAATCAGATGCTGCGGACGTAGCTCCTGATGGGATGGAGGAGGACGATGGAGGGGGAGACTGGAATTGAAAGGCATATCCCACATTGGACACCTCTCTCTTTATCACTTTAATCCACTTGTTCACCACTCCTTCCGCTTTTGTGTGCTCCGCTTTCTCCTCTTCGATTCCTGATCTTCATAGTTTCGTATTGTTGGTGGTCGGTGTGCTTTTCGCTTCGTTTTGTGAATCAGCAGATCCTATTGAGGCGACTGTTAGATTGTTAGATTGACTGCAATCACTGAGAAATTTTATCATGAAAGCCGAGATGCTCTGTCGCAATTATTCGTCAATATTGGTTTAGTTCGTTCATAATGACCCGAAAGTGGTTCTAACTTTCGTCGTCACTTCCTAACTGTATGACACGAGGGACGCTTCAAATGTGTTTCATTTGGATGTCTTCATATCCTGTATTACATTCATATATATCCATGATCCATTCGCCCCAGAAAAGAGATGAATAAAGATAGATTGGGATTTTGCTGCTGATGATGCTGCTGTGATGAATATGTCCCTCAAATTCTATGATGGAGACGCTGTATCTCCTGAAAGTTCTCGCCATGGTCTCTCCAGGAATGGTGACCTTGGATCTTGTATTGAACACCGTATTAATTTACACATGACATGCACCGTCGAACGTGGAAAATGGCATCCAGTGGATAGCGACGTTCCTGGGAAAGCGGGTGGGGGGATGAAGCATCGCTTGGGAATGCGCGACGCCAAAGCCAAGCAATTACAAGAACACTCCGATCCGCTCGTGCCAGAAGAAAACGAAATGCAACTAGTCTCCGTACGATATTCGTTCTTCCCTATATGTCACCGAATTAATGAAATTGCCAGAGAGATTGACAACAATATGCTTAATAAATTTTTCACTTCCGCCTCGAGAATTACCAGCCTCTTTGAAGTCAAACCGTTTTTTATATGCTTGGTGATGAAAACGACTCTTTACATTTAGTTTTCCATCGTAAAACAGCTACGTCCGAATAAACTACTGGTAGCTTCCAAAAGTTTACGGAGAAATGCACACAGAGGTTGGTTTTCGATCTGATCGTTATGACGTTTGGTAGAAATTTTAATTAGGTGGTTTATTGATCTACTACAAAGGGGTCAGTGAAAGCCCAAATGCCGTGCACCCAATCCAAAATTCCGTCTCGCAAACTACACTTCCTAATTATTTTCTGAAAGGCTCGCATAGGAAGATGTGAAAAGAACATCTACCACCAACATGACTTAACGGGGGAAATGACTAAAAACCGAGGAGAAAACGCGGAACACTCATCCGGAAGGACTACATGGAATAAGGTGATGAAAAAAGAGACGTTCATAGTGGGAAACGCCCCTTCGCTTCTCGTCCCTTCGCTTTATCGTCCTCCTCTCTCCCATCAGCTGCTACATTGGAAAGCATCTGGCTGCATTGGATCATGCGATCGCCTGTTTTTCCGCCCCCTTCCGTGTTTGTATCCCTATATTAACCCGGTTTCTCCGCTGCCATTCTCAGTCTGCCATCCTCACATACTACTCTCTCACAAGGAACTTCACCCGGCGATCATCATGAAGCTCATCGTGAGTCACTGGTCATACTTCAGAGTTTGATTTTGCTATTTTACTATTTAAAAATGTTACTTTTCCTGATTTATTGGTGGCTGGATCAGGGTTTCGGGTTGGTGTTGCTGGTTTTGTTGGAAGCCTTCTTCGTGCTAGGCGATCCCAATGCAGATCCAGAAGCGAAAGGAGTTGCTGATCCCAATGCTAGTCCCGATCCCGTCGCCAGAGCGTCTGTTTTATCCTCCCTTCCCTACACAGTATTAAGAAAATTCTTGTAATATATGTTTCTGATTAGCGCCAGACGTTGCCCTTTCTCACATGAGTAAGTGCTTTTTTTGAGAGACCTTCCATAATTTTATCAATAATGTTTAAATATAATAGCTTTTTTTCAAGTCTGACACGCTATGACGTCGCTTGCTATGTTGCAGTACAAAAATCATGAGCCTGCTGAAAAGATTTTTCGAAGGAAAGAGCGAAAAGCATTCGCGTGTCTATTAAGCTTAACTTCGACTTCATAATATCGGGTATGTAGGTACCCAAGTAGCAGCAGCTCGAGCTCGAGCAGCGGCGGCGGCGGCGGCGGCTACGGCAAGAAGAAGAAGTATGGAAAGAAGAAGAGCAAGAAAACCAAGAAGAAGAAGCACCCCTCCTCCTCCTCGTCTTCTTCCTCCTCCAGTTTTGGGTGAGACTTGGTAGAAAAAAATTAAAGGGGAAGGTGTGGAAGATGTAGAATGGTATAATGCAAGGGAAGTGAAGTAAACATATTTGTACTAGGTACATTAATAAATTGATTAATTTCGTTAAATTTATGATATAATGTTTCTAATATATATCGTGACTGATATGGTGATCGTGACTGATTGACTGACTGACGTTAATTCTAACCATGTTCTAGAGAAGTTAGAATTCTGAAACTTCGTACACATGTGCCTTTTGTGATGCAGAGTTCAGAAGAAATCATAATTTTTGGAGGAACATGCCCTGGGGGTTTTTGATGGGAGAAGTTTTTAAATTTATATATTGTGACGGATTTGGATGGCATCGAGAGGCTTGCGTGGATGTCCCGGGCTCTAGGGTCTAGTGGTAGCACACCTGACATACAATCAGGAGATCTGGGTTCAATTCGCGGGAGTTCCTTGGCTTTCCATTAAGCCCTTCAAGTCTCGTTACTCTTTCCCCTTCGTAATATATGTTTGCTTTAGGAAAACGGAGAGACATGGAAAGTTGAAACTTAGCATGGACGTGCCTACCGAGACGATCAGTTCAGGAAAAATGTAAAATTTTAGATTTATTCTCTGGGGAGAAATTTTTTTGGGATCGTCTTTTTCAAGTATTTTTTTGTCCTGGCTTATTGAGCTAGTGGGAAAAGATGAAACTTGGTACATTACTAGCTATTGGGATGCTGCATGCAGAAAAATTCACACTTTGGATGTAAATTCCCTGGGGGCACAAATATTGTTTTTTGCATCAGTTAAGCTGATGAACATGGAAAGCTGAAAGTTTGCATGAATGTGACTACTGAGACAAAGAGTTAAAGGAAAACGTTATGTCTCGATACTTCCCCTGTGGAATATCCTCGAGAGGCGATATTTAAAAAAAATGTTGTCATGGCGGATTGTACAGAAATGGAAAGCTGAAACTTGGCACACGTATTAGTGACATGATAATATCATTATTGAGTTAAGGAAGTATTCAGGTTTCATGGTGCGATCTACCATTCTTTCTATGATTCTTTCTGTGATGAAAAGCCGACGCACCGAAAGGTGTGTCGACTTTTCCAAACATGTTTTTTCACCAATGAAAAGGGCAAATGTATAAGGTTGACACTTTGTCTGTATGTAAATCTCTGAGAATTGATTTCGCTAAAAATAATTTACTTTTCTGTTAAAACGCCTGAGAGCACATATATTCCAAAAGGCGTATTATGTCGATCCAGCAAAACAGAGGCCGCTACAAAGCTTAAACTTGCCAAAGAAGAACCTGATGGATTGATGAAAAGAAAAAATTCTACATTTATTTTATGTAGAGGATCGTAAGTAGCTGACAGACATAAGTCGCCATTCGCATGCTGAGTTCAGGGAAAATTCTACTTTTGTGATACATGCCATAGGGGCACAACTTTTCGGGGAACAAAATTTTCAAATATTTCTTTTTGCTTCAGTCAAACGGAGACACGTGGAAAGCTGAAACCTGGCAAGAACGTGACTGCTGACGCACTGATCTCAAACGTCAAACGTCAATTTTCCAAAATATTGGAATTTTGGGGGATATTATTTGGGACGTTATCTTTTCAAATAATTTTTCATATCCTAGCGAATCGGGCAGAAATAGAATACTAGCGAGAAATAGAATTCCCCGAGAAATAGAATGCTAGCTTGTATTACGTAAAACACAAATATGTAGATTCACCAATTTATGCATAACAACAGTTAATCTTTCACTTCTAGGAAAATAATCCAGGTTTTTGTATATCCCCTGGCCTTGCAGAGGATACGGACGATGACTGAGGCTTCCTGGCTTTAGGAATTGAAGCTGCTCGCGTCTATCGATCTCCCAGTTCTTCACGGTTTCCCTATCCGACCTAGAAGGTTGTGGCTTTCGGGGCTAGTCATGGTTCTTCTCTCGATTTTCGACGTGTACTTCAATAAAGGAATGGTTTTCAACTCCGCTTTGTCCTTTTCACGAGATGAGTCTTCTCTAATCGCACATATGATGCTCCTCATCCATAGAAAGCATCCCTATCACATTTCACTCGGACTATCACAGAAAGAATTAAGAAGTGGTGTTGCATGTTGAACTACAAAGATTTCCTTACTTGAAGTGATGATCCTTGCGAAAATTCTTTGGGTATTTTATTGCATTGCATTAATATTTAAGTGCTACACGTACAGAAGATCCAATGAGTTACTGAGACTTAGTCTAGTTCCAGTGACATGTTTTGATGCTATTCCACTTAACCTTAAGCCCTATGTTCCACCAGTTCGCACGAGTTAATATTCAAGTATTAAAAAAATCAATTCATGGCAACATAGCTGGAAAGCTTTATAGGTAAGTTTTTGCTTTAAACTGCAACATTTGAAACTTCAATTCTCGATAAAAGACATTCATTGAAAGACATTCATTTCTCGGGAAAAGACAAAGTTATTGCTTCGATAAGCTGCACTCCCAAGGTCCATTGATAAAGCACATTTCTCACATGTTCGACTTTTTACGCATCATAATCAGAAAATTTGAATTCATTATTCATGATTTCTCTTTGATTGATCTTTAGTCTATTATTTTTCGATCTGGCGGAGCACTTACAGTATCACGAGTCGAAAGCCGGTCTTCATGGTATGAGAGGAAGTCTATTATTAAAAAAGATAATGTTGAGATCTAAAAAATATACATATACTTGTTTGTGCCTTTTTTCAATGCAACAAACCGTTGTAACGAGATGTTTGTCTTTTCCCTTGCGGAGTCTGGACATTTTATGATCAAGAATGTCTAAATTTAAAATATTAAGAGTGAAACATTATTAATCTTCAACGCCAGAAATAGATGGACGGAATTGCTACCGTATGAAAGATTTCGGGTTCTCGTGGAAGCGAAACTTCTCACGATGAACGGCTCTAAAGGTAAAAATATTTTTGTCCATAGGGTTTTTCCTTTTTTCCCAAAGTGCAATGGGATATATCTCGCCCCGGGATGTAGCCAGTGGGGCGGGGGGGGGGGGGGGGGGCCNAAAACTTGGAGTTTTCTAAACAAATCGGGGAAACTTTTTTTCCCAGAATAGTAACTGGTGATGAAACTTGGGTTCATCACTGGGATCCCGAAACCAAGCAGGAGTCCATGCAGTGGAAGCACAAGGGATCGCCAACGCCTCGCAAATTTCGTGTTCAGAAATCTGCAGGAGAGATATGGCCACTGTGTTTTGGGACAGCGAGGGACTACTGCTGCTTGAGTTCATGCCAGACAAGTGTACAATCACTGGCGATTCCTATGCTACCACCATGAAAAATTTACACGATGCCATGAAAGAAAAACGCAGAGGAAAGTTGTCAAGGGGGGTCCTTCTTCTCCATGACAACGCGCCCGTCCACAAATCATGGAAAGTTCAGGCAGCAGTGAGGGAGTGTGGCTTTCAGGAGGTCAACCATCCTCCCTACAGCCCGGATCTGGCTCCTAGTGACTATTTTCTGTTCAGACATTTGAAAAAATGTTTGCGGGGAAAAAGATTTTCATGCAATGAAGAGCTGAAAGTTGCCGTTTCTGATTGTTTTGATGGACAAGAAGTTGACTTCTATTCCCAGGGAATAAAATCCTTGGAATCAAAGTGGTATAAATGTGTTGAGTTAAAAGGTGACTACATTGAAAAATAAAGTGTTTTTTTTCCCCTCGGATATTTCTTTCTTATTCAGGTAGATAACTTATTGAGTGACCCTCGTATTATGAAACAAGGAGTATGGAAGTGGAGGTGTTGGGGAATGAAAAGTTTCACACATTTAACTGAAGTTTCGACTTCCATTCATATTCCACCTTCTGAATACGATCACTCTTACAGCGCCCCCCCCCCCAATTTGCTTTCATTGCTCTGCTAGTTTTTTTCAGTTCCAGCAGCAAACCATGATTCAAGAGTTGCTTTCCTCTAATACATTATGACTAATTCAAGGTCAGTCCTTGAGCCATATCTCTTCATGCAAAAAAATTTGAAATATTGGGGGGAAAAGGGGGCTATTTTCAACTATGAGGTGGATAGTGTAGAAGTATCAAAAAGGATTTCGAAGTTTTCCTCATTCCTTCCAACCCCTCACTTTCTTCAGCCACTTCGTCATCTCATGAGACCGAAAAGGCCACACAGGACACCCTCCGAAATTATTTCCTGGCTATATCATTGATTTCGCCAAAGGACTTTCGATAGTGGCTATTGTTTTCTTTTTTAGCTTTTTACGGAATTATCAGATTAATTTCTGAGAATATTTCCCGTAAAATCAGAGTCTGCTGTCTGACTTTAGTTCGTATAGACTGCCCCCTTACATTCATTTACAAAAAAAAGACTCTTTAAGAAACTGGTGCTGCTTTGAATGTTAGCTTGGACACAAAAAAAGTGCGCGGTAGCAAATTCCGCCCATTCCTCACGGAATGAATCGACTTGAAGGCTGGGCGAGCTCCGCATGGCGCGAGCCACGAGTCCATATATCCATTTCTCGGACAATCTCTTTTACTTGTGAAAGGCGCGCACAAAGCGCCGCGAAAAAAAAAATTTTTGGCAACCCACGAAACGAAACGAGGAAGCCGATCATTAATCGGATATGAAAATGCAAAAAACAGCCGGAAGGACTAGGTGGATTAGAGTGAAAAGGAGAGAGGTATCCAAAGCGAGAAAAAACCTTCACATCTCCTCTCTCCTCTCTATCGTCCTCCTCCTTCTCAACATAAGCTGCATCTGCACCATCTGGTTGCACTGCATCTTGCGATCGCCGCCTCTCACCCACAAACCTTCCGTCATCGAACCCCAATATTAACCCAGTCCCTCCGCAGCCATTCTCAGTCTGCCATTCTCACAGTCTGCTGGTCTCTCTCAAACGACTTAATATCAGGATCATTTTGAAACTGATCGTGAGTCACTGGTAAAACTCCAAATTTTGGTTTTGATATTTAAATATGCTACATATGACGTTTCATTGACGTATGGACCAGGGTTTCGAGTCGGTGTTGCTGGTGTTGTTGGAAGCCTTTTTCGTGCTAGGCGATCCGGATGTAGATCCAAAAGCGAAATCAGTCGCCAATCCTTATGCTAGTCCATTACCCATCTCCCGAGTGTCTGTTTTTTTCACTTCCCTTTTCTTTACAGAGGGTATTAAGCAGATTAATGTAAGGTGTTTTCCCAACCGGCAACGACGGTTGCATGTCCTCTTATAATTTCTCTTCCAAGGGAAACGTTCATACATTAAAGAATATTATGAATTTTTTAGCTCTGACCAGCTTAGACTATGCTTTGCACGTGACAGTACTACGATGGTATAAAAAAAGCTATCGAACACATTTTTACGAAACCACAAGCGAAAATTATTCAATGTGATTTCATAGCATGGGGTCCAAGGCAATCTAATCGCCCAAGATGACATCCACCTTGATGTCATTTTGAATCGCATTGAAATGCAAATCTTGGAAACCAGTTCCATCGGCGCATTCCCCCTCTGAGCTGCATAGGAAGTCTGGCTCCAGCACGATCCAGGCCTGGCCGCAGTCGAACGCGGTGGGGGTTCCCCCTGTTCCTATGGCAGAGTGAAAGAGGATTAAAACCAACCATGTCATAGCCTAAAAGGACCCACTCATTCCCGTTAATCCGTGCGAGTCCACGCTTAAGATGCTATCACCCTCGAGGTACACGCTTCAAAAGGCCTCACTGTGCAATTCCAAGACCCGTTCTTGATAGTCGATCTCGGGCCGCACGAATAGCTGGAATATTCCGTCAGATTTCACAATTCCGCAAAGAATGTTGCACCTCCGAGATGGGATTTTCACATGCAAAGATTGAAATTGAATCGTCTGAACATATAATGGATACCTGGAACCCTTTAAATCTATTTTTGCATTGCCTTTCAGATAATTCTCATCCCGGAAGATGTGCTAATTTTTTTTGCTAAGCTCGTATCCTCACATTTCTCGTTGGAATGAGGTCATTTTCGCCTCAGAGCTTGCCTTCATTCCACAACATACAAAGTGTCGAAACAGGGAAAAATAAAGTATATCTGCAAGAGACCACGTTAAAGTAAAGAAACTACGGTGTGGATGACGATATATATCACTACCCAAGCAACACGTGATGTCCATGCAACATTGCTGCAACTTTTGAAAACGTCGCATTCTGATGTTCTGCGACATCGATGAGACGACAATCGCCAGGTGATTCCTCACGACTTCTTTCCAGATGAAAAAACGGTAAAATCGTAGGTATTCTGTGAGATTCGGTTGCGAAATGCTATTTGCCGTAAACGCATCGATCTGGGGCTTCTTCGGAGTGGATGCAGCTTTGCGACAATGCCCAAACTTTTTGATCTCTCAAGGCCCTAAACAGCCCTAAGGCGCCTGCCTCACAACATCCTCCTTATCCCCCCGACACAGCACCGTGCGACTTCGGGCTTCTCCACGAATGAAGCAGGCAATCAAGCGACAGAAACTCTCCAAAAAGCAAAAAAGAAAAAAGTGGCTGTGGCTGCGACGAGGGCACTCGGGGACGCGGAAACGAAAGAACTCCAGGACACAATCCACCAGTCGTATGAACGCTGGCAAAAAATGTGTGAATGCGGAAGGTGACTATTTAGAGGAAAATCATGGGTGAATGCGAAGTCGAGAATACGAAGTCGAGAGTCCTGTCTTGCTAGCAATCAGACTTACGCTTCAAGTCTACTGCACTTTAAGGGGAGATGGGAGAAATTTCGATGACGATTCGAATGTAGGAAGATGTAGGAGGATATGCGCGAGCATGCAAGACCCAAGCACAAAGAGCATATGGAAAACATTGCTTTATTGAAAGACACGTGAGGGAGCAAAAAGGGAACCATGGCTATCCCCGAAAGCCACGCCCATCAACAATCGATGAATAAACAGCGCAGAAGAGGGAGATGGAGAGACCCGAGCAGCTTCATTTCCGACCGCCGGGGATCCTGCCGGGGGACAGAGCAAGCAATAATTTTTATCATTTAGGTAATTGTTTGTACTAATATGTAAAGCTTTTCATCTGCATATTCATATTTATTTATATGGCATCATTCTGTCGTATTTCCGCTCATATCATATCCTTCAACAGCTTACTTCGTAACTTCAAAAAAGAAATAGTGGTCCTCAAATTTCTTCCCCAGGCCGGAGGAGGAAGAGGAGGAGGAGGAGGAGAACTTCTTCTTGCCAAAGCCTCCGCTGCTGCTACTCGAGCTAAAGCTGCCTGGGTGTCTGCAGATGCAATAAAAAAAAAACGCCAAATTAGGCTCAACTGCGACATGCCATTGAATTTTGTTCGTGCTTCGGTCAATTTTTTTGTTAGGATTCCGTACTTTCTCAGTACTGGAAAGAACTGAGGTCGAAACGTCTGAAAAACCGAATATATATATATATATTATATTATTTGAAAGCTAATATTAAGAAAAGTTTCAAGATTTGGCTATGCGAGAACGTGCAGCGCGTAATGCCGATAAAAAAAAATATATTGCGTTCGTTTTCTTAATACCAGCTGTATAAGAATTGGAAGAAAAGACAAACCCTCTGGCGACAGGATCGGGACTAGCATGAGCATCGGCAACTGCTCTCGCTTCTGGATCTGCTTTCGGATGGCCTAGCACGAGGAAGGCTTCCAACAACACCAGCAACATCGACCCGAAGCACTGCTCCATACGCCAAGAAAGCGGTAAATGTAGCATATTCAAGTAACAATGCCAAAATCAAAAGTATGACCATGAAATGAAAAGTATGACCATGAAACGAAAAGTATGACCATGAAATGAAAAGTATGCCCATGAAATGAAAAGTATGACCATGAAATGAAAAGTATGACCATGAAATGAAAAGTATGACCATTAAATTAATAGTATGACCATGAAATCAAAAGTGTGACCATGAAATCAAAAGTATGACCACTAAATCAAAAGTATGACTCACGATGAGTTTCATGACGATCGCCGAGTGGAGTTCCTTGAGAGAGCAGAATGTGAGGATAGCAGACTGAGAATGCCAGCAAAGGGATGGGGTTAATATAGGAGCGCGAAGACGGAAGAGGGGGGCGGTGAGACGTCGATTGCATAATGCAACACAACCATATGGTGTAGATGCCGCATCTGGTGGAGGGAGGAAGGCCATAGAGAGGAGAGACGGGAAGTGAACGTCTTATTTCCTGATTTGGAAATCTCTCCCTTTTATCCCCGTAATCCACCTTGTCCTTCCGCTCGTGTGAGTTCCGCCTTTTCCTCTTCGAGTCGTAATCCTTTTCATAGTTTCGCGTTGGTGGGCGGGCTTCTTTCAGCCGAGTTTTGTGAATCCATAGATGCATGCGGTTTTCTCTTTTATTTTCAAGGTTTGTTGCATTGATTGCAAATGCATATAATTTTTTTCGGGAAATCCGAGATGACTTGGCGCAATTATGTATGTATGAAGCTATGTGAAAACCATTTTCCAAAGCCTTTCGATTTTTTCAACCCCAACCCCCCCCCCCCCCCCAAATCTCCCAGGAACTTCATTAGTTCAACTTTTCAACTTTTGAAATTTCCAAACAGTGTGAGGAAAGAACGCGTCTAGTAAGCATGAAATTCAAGCTTGGTGTCATCCTGCTTCTTTTGGAATGTCCGATTGAAAAATCTCCACATAAAAAAAAATGGATCTGTCATATTTATTCAATCATATTCATCTAACGTTCTCGACAAGAAATTAGTAAATACATTAAAAAGCAGAAGATCCAGATCCCGATACTAACTCCAGTGTGGTCAGAATCTGACTTAACTCCGGCGCAACATCTGGCAACACTGTTGACAGGACCGGAGCCATCAAGCTTAGCCAAAATAAACAACTAATTTCATTTGAATTTATGGCGAAATGGCGTACTGCCAGCACCCATAAGGTCACTTTAGTTGCCAATGTGCCCGGAAGAGGGACCATGAGGCTTTCAAAAAGAATAAATGAAATACTTTTTTCTTTTAATTAAGTCCCATTTCTCGTCGCGCTTGGCGAGCCGGAAGAAGAGGCAACAGAGATCAGTTCTTCCCTATGGAATCTATCCCTCAACTCACGATATCAACGTCAATTTACACGGGTGGATCAAACGTGACCTGGGTCTGACCTTCTCCGCAAACTTATAGCAAGAGCCGGTCAAAAGCCGGTCAAAAGCCGGTCAAAAGCCGGTTGATTTGACATGAAGGTTTCGGGAGGAACTGATGACACTTGCGATCGCTATGTAATCCTGCCAGATTTCCGCTATCGTGCTCGAAGCCGCTCATTTGATAGGAGAAGTTTGCGTTTCACTGGAAATACAGAATCAAACGGAACTTAAAAAAAAAAATTTCTCGTGAGCAGCTATCAATGTTGAAATTTGAACCATTTCCCGCTTCACCTTACGAGGAGCAGTCGAAAGAAATGAAAGCCACATGCAAACCCTCCGTCGACGGTTTCACCTTGCGTCCTATCCTAAATGTCATTTCCTAAATGTCGGAATCCCCCGGAGCTGGCGGCGCTTCAGAGCGCACGTTCGTGCCGGAAGGAGCCTGGTGAATCCTTGCAAGGAGAACTCGTCCTTCCCCCCTCCCCCCCCCCCCCCTTTGGCACCTCAAGTCAACATTAATCACATCATCATCGATGCGATGGAATCGATTAAATCACATCAGGAATCAGGCGATTAATCGCTTTCCGCTCGCAGTTCTCGCTTCGTGTTGAGATTGTGACTGCCCCAGATTCGAGTTCCACGTGGAACTCCAGTTCCACGAAGTTCCAGACGGGTCAGGCCGTTAATAAACTCGAAATAATTTTTTCTTTTGCCCATCATCGCATTCGACCGAGTCCCAACCGATTCCACAGTCTTGGATTCCCCCACTTCCCGAGTTATAAATGTTCTCGCCCGATCGCAGCGCCTCTCCATCCTCGCGGCAAAGAACGAAACAAAGTGCGCCGTTTCTCGCCACCGACACCGTCATGAACCACTAGTTCATCGAGTGGTTCATGACGTCTACGACATCATGAACCACTAGTTCATCGAAGTGCAAAAGAGACACCAGCCGCCCCGAGAACCCCTCCCGCTTTCCCGAAATGCCGAGAGTCTCAGCACCTCGAATAGATTAGCAAAGGCCAATTGCCGAAGTGAACGATGAAGTGAATGAATTTATTTATTATTAGGAAGGAGCCTAAAGTCCGGGGTGAGGGCCCAGGGCCTGCACGAAACGCCTCATTCTCCCGTCGTCTCTCCTGCGGTAGCAACAATGGGTAGCCGTCAGTTTCCTCGCGTCTTCGTAGCAAAATTTTTCCAGGTTCAATTCTCCATGTAACAATAGATGGCATCGATGGAAAGAGTTCCTCCTGGACCGTAGATCACATTTTCTTCCCGTATTATTTCACGGAGCATCCCTCCCCTGCATCTCTCATGCTCTCATCACGCGGCTACCGCGCCCCACCCTACCTCACGGCGACGCCACTGTAAGCAACGCCCAAGTTCGGCTTCCACCATCGAGATTGTTCCACGTTTCACATGCGTCGACGGCAATGCTTCCTCCGATCGCAGTGGCCTCGACAAAAGAGAAACTCCGCCTAGTTTCGAACCGTCGTCCCCCCTCAAGGGAGCACGACCCACTGCGACAGAGCTACTGACTTGGCCCAGCCTCGGTTTTAGTCGCAGAGGTACGAACAGAGGATCTGGAACTTTCCGAAGTTCTAAGCTTTTCATCGATACCGGATTCGTTCGGAACCGTTGATCGGGAGAGAAGTACCCGGACACACAGACAAGCATATTATAATAATCCATATTATAATAAGATTTAATTTTGAGATGGTACTTACCCTACGTTTCCATGCTGTCTCTTGATACCGTCTGTGAAGAAAAGACTTTGGACTCGTCGCAAAGCTGAAACTTGACATGGACGTGCCTACCGAGACGATGAGTTCAGGAAAACTGCAACATTTTAGATTCATGTCCTGGGGGCATTTTTTTGGGGGCCGACGTTTTCAAGTATTTTTTTTTGTCCTGGCATATTGAGCTGGTGTGGAAAGATGAAACTT